AAAAGAAATTTTTTGAAAGAGCCGACATTGGTCAATATGTTTTCAACAACGTCGAAACAAGATGATGACGGATTGCGAGCTTCGTACAACATTTCTCTACTGATTGCCAATTGCCAAATCTGGTAAACCGCATAATATTGGCGAAGAACTTATTTGACCGGCTATAAACGAGGTAATAAACACAATGCTGCATCAACCAGCTTTTGACATTATTAAAAAAATTTCTCTGAGCAATAATACAGTGCAAAGGAGAATTGATGAAATGGCACAATCTCTCGAAGAATTATTATGCGAGTTTTTAAAAGCCACCAAATTTTCTATACAGCTTGATGAATCAACTTAACCAGGTAACGAAGCCTTATTATTAGCTGACGTACGATTCGTAAAAGAAGAAAAGATTTGCGAAGAATTATTATTTGCTAAAAACTTAATGACTGACACTAAAGAAGAATCAATATATCCACACATTGGAAGAGTTTTTTAAACAAAAAGAAATTCCTATGTGTAATATCTTATCAGTTGTGACCGATGGTGCTCCAGCCATGGTAGGGTGCCATCGAGGTTTTATTGCATATTTGAAAAAAACTGTACCAAATGTACTCGCTGTACATTGTGTCATTCATCGACAACATTTAGTTGCCAAAAATTTGAGTGAACGCTAACATTAGTCATTACATTATGTAATTTCAGCTATCAATAAAATAAAAAATAATTCATTGAATGATAGATTGTTTGGACAACTTTGTACTGAAAATGATGACAATTCAATCAATTATTATTTCATACAGAAGTTCGTTGGTTTTCGAAGGGTGCCTGTTTAGACAGATTCTATAAGTTGTTTGACTCGGTACTTGAATTTTTAAAACTAAATATGATACTTTACGAGGCAACTTAATTAATTATAGAAGTGACATTGCTTATTTGACTAACCTGTTTAAAAAATTTAATGAAACAAATTTGCAGCTGCAAGGTGATGATTTGAATTGAATCAAAACAAAAAATATTATTTCTGCATTTTTAATAAAACTTCTTATGTACAAAAGAAATTTAGGACGAAAAGAATTTATACAGTTTCCAAATCTATCAATGGCACAAAAAAATGATGAAGATTTAATGACAAATTGTCAATACATGGAAGCATTACATTCCTATTTCAACAAATGATTTGAGGATATTCTTAAAATGAACATACCCAAATGGGTTTTAGATCCATTTTCAAATACAGAAACCATAGATTCTGCAAAATTAGATGAAGAATTGATAGAAGTAACTACAAATGAGGAATTAAAATTAAAGTTCAAGGAAGCTTACCAAGTATTCTGGGTACAAAAGCAGATGCCTATACTTTATCCTGGATTGTGGGCTGTTGTACAAACATTTAACCGTTTGGTCATTAATCATTAATTTCACCAAATTGTGATTATGTCTGAAAACGAAAGTGATACTAATTGTTCGACGCCAGAAAAAACTAAACGGAGACGAGGAGAAAGTTCTAAAACCTATTAGCACAAAAAACAGAACTTCAGAGATGAGTGGTTAACCCATGATAAATACAGGAATTGGTTATTGCCAGTACACAACAATAAACTATTAGCCACGTGTAAGTTATGTATTACAGAAATGACTGCTGAATTAAGTGTTATCAAAAAACATTCTCTGACAAAAAAAAACATTTAAATTCAGTGAACTCTATTGGACGCCAACAAAATTCGATTTCGACCTTCATAAATAACACGGATCGATTCAAATTAGCTGAGCAAACTAAATAGGCAAAAATTTCACTTAGAAGCTTCATAAGTGAACACAATTTACCATTCAATATTAGTGATAATTTAGTAAAGACATGTAAGGTAGCATATCCGGACTCAAAAATTTGTTCCAATATATGTTTGGCTCGTACTAAATCAACAGCTCTTGTGTCAAATGTTATAGGACTTTATTCCTTTGCACAACTTACAAATATTTGGCAGAAAACACTTTTTAGTGTGATTATTGATGAGAGTACTGATGTTGGTTGTGTAAAAACGATGTGTATTTGTGTTAAATACTTTGACAGTGTATCAGATTCTTTCGAAATTAAATTTTTTAAGCTCGTTCAATTATTTGAAGATATCAAAAGTGCAGACAAGGAGCTACCAGTCAAAAAATATTTGATGAAGCAATAAAAGCTTTCACAGATTCAGAAATTCCATTGGATAATATAATAGGTAACTAAGTTAAAATGTTATTTAGAAACAACTTATTATTTAGTAACTTATTGAGTTATAATAATTTAATCACACAATTACTTTAATTTTTATAGGATTCGCTTCTGACGGATGTAATACCATGTTCGGTGCATCAAATTCTGTGACATCAAGATTAAAATAATGTTTGCCAGGTAATGCATTAATTAATAATGTTATGATGTAGATTTTAATATTTAAAAACTTCTTTGTTTTTTGCAGGTATTTATATTCAAAAATGTATTTGCCAGTCACTTCATTTATGTGCCAGTGCTGCATGCAAAGCTTTACCCAGGACCTGTGAAGACCTTGCCAGGGACATTTATAACTACTTTAAATCAAGCTGCAAGAGAGTAAATCAATTTAAACAATTTCAAGACTTCTGCAATGTATCCCCTCACAAGATTTTAAGACCAGCGTAGACCCGATGGCTTTCATTGAGTATGATAGTAAACAGAATAGTTGAGCAATGGCTCAACACTAAAATTGTTTTTTTCGTCTCATTAGCTTGATGATTAACTTAAAGCTTCAGAAAACATTTTTCATGCCTTGAATGATCCTTCTGTATTTATTTATTTTAAATTTCTAGAATGGGTCCTTCTAAAATTTGTGAATCTGAATAAACTGTTTCAAAGTGATAAACCAGTTATATGGTTGGTATACAGTAAAATGTCCATAACTTAAATCGATATTCTGTATTCATATATGAGACGGCTTAATAATCCTTTGTCAGTAGATCCAAACAACACATCATACTTTCTTCCTTTAAAGCAGATGTATTTAGGAATTGATGTTATGAATATGTTACAAAAACCAGAAGTTGCTAAGAATGAAGTTATGGTACAAGATGTCTTAGAACACTGTAGAAAGTTTCTTATTATTAGTGTTCAAGAAATAAGAGCCAGATTTGATTTCAATGACCAAGTACTAATGCGATTGGAAAATATTAACCTAAAAAAGTACTTAGTAAAACCGACCGGCATCTTTAATTAATTTTGTTCATTTATTCCCTAGAATTAAAGAAAATAATCAAAATATTGATACCAGCTGGAGAATGTTCAGTGTAGTTGAGTTTGATCCTGAATTACGTACATTTCTTTTAAATTTAAATGTTGAAGATTTTTGGATTAAGCTTAAGGCATTTGAAAAAGATGATGAATATCCATTTAAAGATGTTTCTAATTTTTTACTCACTGTTCTGTCTTTGCCCCAATCGAATGTGTCTTGTGAACCCATGTTTTCAAAAATCAACTTAATTAAAACAAAACAAAGTAATTGTTTAAACACTAAAACTTCAAATTGAATTTTGAGTGCCAAAGAGTTCACAAAAAAACAGAATGCCATCACATAGATATAAAAAAAACAATGGAATGGTGAATTCTAATATGTACAATCATATAAACCATGAGACTAAAAATAGTATTCAATTTGTTGAAGACTGAAAATTTCAGTTCTTTTTTTTATTTTGTTGAACCTAATATTTTTCTTTTATTTAAGTTTTACTACATGTAAGTCCGTGTATATTTCATATTGTTATATAAAATTTGTTGAAGACAGTTATATATTTTTATGTTAAGCTTAAATGTCTAATGTTTTTTCTTTATATTATGTTTTTACCTACACGGTTACATGTAAGTCCATGTATATTTCAAATACCTAATATTAATATTATTAAATATTTTGTGGAATATTAATATATATTTTTTTGTTAAGCCTTATGTTTTTATTTTATATTATGTTTTACACGGCAACATATTATCTATAAGGATTTATATACAAGACGTATACAACCATTTAGTCTTATCAGTTCAGTTGTGCTTATCATAATATCAACCATTAATTAAATAACATATTTTTACGCATACTTAAAAATTGTTAAAAAAGATACACATGTCATAATTATTGCTAATGCACAGTGCATAGTGTATACACTCGGAGTCCGGAGATTCTACACTCCTTACATTCTTGCGCTACGGCGCTAGTCGCTACTATACCTTATTCTATTATAATTTTTTTTTTTTTTTTGTACGATCAAAAATACGATCTTTTAGGAATTTTACCCCATTTTTTTGGTTTACCCAGTTTGGCAGCACAGGCGCGTTATAATAATTTGAATATAAAAATAAAGGCGAGCATCGCGTAATGTTAATAATAAAATAAAGTAATAAAATAATTTTAAATTTTAATGCTTGGGCTCCATCACTGGTTGGCCTCCCTCTTTATATTTTCAAGTTAAACTTACTTTATATAAATTATCAATTTACCTATTGTGCTGTCGAGCACAGCTTGTAAATATCTAATAAAATAAATAAAAAAAATTTTTTTTGAATATATTAGTAGTTACTAAACTGTAGTTAGTTGACAGTTATATATTATAATAGTTACCTACTAGCAAACATGGATCTATCCTCTGTATGCAATCTTGCATTCCAATTCATTTTTATGTCATAATGAGTACTCCAATGTTGTACATTTATTATATTCTCTTTTCTGTGGAATATTATATGCGAAGGACAAATTTTTGATATTTTAGCTGATCCAATACTTTTTAATACTCTCTTTCCCTAATTATGCATGTGTATAAATTTTTTTAAGAAAATCAATTTATTGTATAATAGTTTATTTACTGTGCTTTGAAGATCTTGGATTATTTGAACGATGACAAACATAATATAAATATTCGACCCCATTATGTTGTTTTTTATGATGTTCTATGTAGGTACATGCTGACATTTATCTTGATTTTCAACATCAGTTTTCCACTTAAGAAATTCTTCACTTATCAATTGTTTGTCCTAATTGTTCATCGCCTTGGTGACTGAAACCACATCGCAAGAAGCATTTTTTTACAGTTTTAGACTTTATTTGGGCTTGAGCAGAAGCCACCCAATACACAGCATCCAAAACATTTATAGCGCTAGATTCTCCAGCATCCAAATCAGCAATTGCTTTTTGTAACAGTTGCTTACGATAGAGCTTTTTAAATTGTTGAATTATGCCCTGGTCCAAAGGTTGGCAGTGAGACGTCATATTTGGGGGAAAAAACACTAGCTCGACATTTTGCAGTTTAAGATGGGGATGAGGAGCTGCATTGTCGACAAAAAGTAGTACTTTTCTTTGACTTTTAATCATTTTTTTATCGAATTTCATAAGCCAGTCTGTCATAATCTGTGTCGTCATCCAGGCCTTTTTATTCCAACACCAGTCAACGGGAAATTTATTTACGTCTAATTTTTTGAAAGCTCGCGGTCGTTTTGCCTTACCTATGACGAGAGGACGTTCAAACTCACCTATCATATTACAGCACAATGGCACAGTCAACCGTTCTTTTGAAACTTTTCCACCACTGCAGTTTCATTTTAAATGCCATAGTTTTATTGGGTAGAACTCTAAAAAATCGCTTGTTTAAAAGTCACCATTGTAAGCATTATCTGGTTATGTTTGGATTTCCTGTTGTTGCACAAATTTATTCTATTATAAACATAGAAAGCAAAGTCATACTATAAAAAAAAAAATATGTAGTTACTATGAGTAACAATAATGTTATACCTGCTCTTGAATCAAACAATTTTAAGAATCAGAAATGTTGAAAAAATGTGTACTTATTAAATTGATACATTGTGACCGTTCATAAATGGTTTTGAATTATTTTGTTAAGTCTCGAATAATAACTTTTCGTAGAGAATCTAAATATTATACGAAAACTGTTGCATATCGACATAATCGCGAGTATATTAAGTTAGTCAATAATACTAGTGTATCCATTATTAATATACCTTTTGGCTTTTACGTGACCTTCATTTTGCCTATTGTTGCTAGTTATTGATTTCAATAGTTGGTGGTCAAAATTCAATATTATTTTGTGATCACAGTGTAGTGACGCCATATTGGAATAATTTGTGATTTTTCCTGCGAAGATAAAATCGTACAATTACTGCACTTATCTTCTATTCGTATTTTGTATTTTCGCCCATCTGCTATCACTTTTCCACACTTCCACTAATCACTTTTATCTCGTAGTCGTAGACCGTGGTACTGTAGTATACTGTGTTTCCTATTCTTGTTACCTCATTTAATAAGTGTTATTATATATTGTTGTTGTATACTACTATACGTACTATACGTATACATACTATACTTACATTAGTACAATATACTTATGGGCTATGGCTTGTCACTATGTCACATTCTGGAAATATGGATCCTATAAATGATCCAGTATAGTGATATTACTTGAAACGCCTTTTAGGCGTTGGAATAACATTCATAAAAATGATTTGGTTAGAAAAGGCAAGCTAACTCCTTTTTCGTATTGCCAATCACTTGACAAAAAAGGTGGCAAAGTATTTAGTCGACTGTTTAATCCTGTGTGGTATGATTTTCATTCTTGGCTTTGTGGAAGTTTTTACAAACAAACGTTGTTTTTTGGGCCGTTTTATTGTTAAGTCAGTCAAAATCTGTTGGTCGACAGTTGGTTTTTGAGATTTTCAAAACTTGTCCCGTAGTATAAAATTTCACCAGTCATCAAAAGAACATATTCACAGCTAATTGGTGATTAAATTCCACGATATTTAAAAAAAAGTTTAATGAAAACGTAAAGCTAAATCGTCTATTTATGGAAAGTTTAATTGATATAGTGTTGTTTTTGGAAAACCCTTTCGCGGAGACGATGAAAGCATAAACTCTTATATAAGGTAACTTTCGAGAGTTGTTTTGATATGTTTCTAAATAGAAGTTCCTTTGAAATTCAAAACTACTATAAAACCATTGTTTTCTGGTGTATTAATGGTGTAAATACAGTACAAAATGATATAATTTTATGCATTCCTGATTATCTACCGAATTGTGTGGTAAATGAAATAAAAAAATGTAAATGTTATTCTGTTCAAGTAGATGATACTACCGATATTACTCAAAGAACTCAATGTTCAATTATCTTAAGGTATGTAACGGATGAATCCAAATTGGTTGAACGTTTTCTTGGTTTTTCAACGTTAGTGAAGACCGCACTAGCTCTAGTAAACTATTTTTCTTAAATTCCATCTGGTGTTCTACCTTTTGTGAAGACAGGTTCCCGCATCATATCCGTAGAAGTTGTTGTGGGCCACTACTTTTTAATAATAATACATTGAAATTGAATGATTAAATTATATTCTATAATACAACAATATATTTTTTTTATAATTTTAATATAGCGAATGATAAGCAGAAATATTTGTTGGAGGTGCCTCATAACTGTATTCCGTAAGTCATTGAAGGGCGAAATTATAAGTTAAATGACATTTACAAAAAAAAAAAAAAAACAGAAATTAACTAATGTAAATAATTAACCGATAATAAAACCAAAATGTAATCCTAAAACGAACTATACAATTACTATCCTACTTACAACGTTCGAGGGCGCAGCATAAGATTCCATGACGGTGGTACTTAAATTGGTTGACGAAGTGCTCGGCTGGTTAAAGTAAATAAAAATTTGAAAAATTTTAGTAGGTATTCCATTATAAATACAGTGGTACAATTGTATAATAATAATGTAAAAAATGTATATAACTAATTATAATATATTATCAATTTATCTAGATTTTAAATTATAAATTAAGTTCTCAATATGTTTTTTTTAAAGAAAAATATATTAATTTAATAATTTTGTTTTTAATTGTAATAATATGTTCACAAACAATAATAATTAATTGATTTTATGCGTATTATCTATTTATTCAAATAATTTTCATTAAGAAACTACAAGAAGATAGATCAAAATTGAAAATTACCAAATTAAAGTCTGATTTATCAATAGAATAAGGTGTTGATGGATACAATAAATTCTGCTTAACGCAAATTTGCTATGGCGTGCAGCGTTAGTCTTGGTAACACATAGACAACACATGCGGGCACATGCGGGTAGTTAATAAATTAACTCAAAAGTTAACTATGATAGTATATTGACTAGGATTTGACTAATTACAATAAAAATCAAAGAATAAGCTTATTCTAGTACCCAAACTATTATATATCAATTATAGGTACGTGAACTTGATCATATTATTATAATTTATATAAATAAATAAACAAAAAATATACTTACTTGATTAAATTTGAGTTTGAACCACAAATCACAAATGAACTTACGTCAAAATGTATAAACAATAAGATTATAAGAATAAATACCACGAACTCAAAGTTTTAAACGGCGACGGTTATAGTGGACAAACGAAAACAAAATGATTCACTGTCTATTGTGTAATAATAATATTATATTATCAATTAAGAGGACGCCACACCCGCATGTGTTGTCTCCGTCTTACAAATGTACAACATAGCAAAAACTCTTTTGCGAGGTACAACTTTTCTCGCAACATATTTGTTGTAGAACTACCAAATTTTCACAGCACTTAAAGAAGAACTTTATCTGTGCAACAGCGTGCTCTTTTTTTCAATAACATATATACAATACAAGTTATTTGCTTCTAAACATTTTGTTTTTTAATTTTCTTATAAAAAATGATTGGATGGTGCTATTGAAAAAAAGAGCACGCTGTTGCACATATAAAGTTCTTCTTTAAGTGCTGTGAAAATTTGGTAGTTCTACAACAAATATGGTGCGAGAAAAGTTGTCCCTCGCAAAAGAGTTTTTGCTATGTTGTACATTTGTAAGACGGAGACAACACATGCGGGTGTGGCGTCCTCTTAATAAGCGCGCGCATACTCTGTACCACAGCGAAAATTCATAGTATAACATAAAACGAATATTCTTAGCATATAACATTATCATATACAATGAATATGCCGTATAGATTCTAGATAGTATAGAATATGTGCATCTTAAAATAATAAATGAAGAATATTCTATTCTCATTCAATAATAGATATCTAATCTGGTATATACGTATCGTATCTTCTGAAGTGTCTGTATATCTATAGTATGAATGGTATTTTTGTAGAATATACTATTAATATAATGTGCTATGTGGGATTATCCTGTCGCAGACTGCAGTGCATGAGTCGCAACTGCTTTATACCCAATATTTTTAATTTAAGTATTATTCATAACTTAAATATTTCCAGGGGTTAAAGTGGGGGGGGACGCAGGGGGACTCAGTCCCCCTACCTCGAATGGTGGTTAAAAAGCGTCCCCTTTAACAAATTCTTCTTTAGGTATGCCGGAACGCTCCAATTATATTTAAACATTAATCGATATAATTCAGAAATCCGTTGAGATTAAAACCCGTGATTATCTTATCACGGACTACTACACTGGACTGGAAACGAGACGTTTACCACCGGGTCGCTTAGTGTCCGCGAGAGAGGTGTACGAGGGGAAGTCGTACATGAGCGAATCTGGCGCCATCTATACTTCAATGATAAACCATTAACCAAATGTATTCCTGCTAAATTGTTATCACTTATTCGAAAAATACGAAAATGTTTAAAATGTTAATCCGATGAAAACGTTTATACTAGGTGAAGTGAGGTACGCGGTCGGATTGTTTACCGATTGTTTACCTATTATTAGTATTATTCACACACTGTCCTGTCAATGTAATGTTTACTTTTTAATCAGTTTTATTTAAAAAGTTTTTAGTGTTAACTATTCAATTACCTATTTAAATAATTTGTTTAAAAGAACTAAGAAGTTACGGCTAACAGGCAACAGGTAAGTTAAATCTTATTTAAGTAAAATTATTTTTAATGAATATTTATTTTTTGATTTTCATATATTATTTTGTTTAGACATTATGAGTCTTTTGAAGTATAACTTCTCTAAAACTCCAAAGAATGATTTACCTACACATAAAGTTCCTATCAGTACAATTAAATCAAATATTGACTTATCAACCTCATCAAAAATTATTCCTGTTACTAAATCTACTGATTCTATAAATAATAGTTCTTATCCTGACTGCTGGGACTCCAAACAAATTCTTTATTTTACTGAAACTTATCCTTGGATGTATTTTAAAGAAAAAAAAATTGGTTGTATATTTTGTAGAGATGTAAATCTAAACTTGCTTAAACAAACAGGATCACATATAGCAACTGAATGGTCAAATGCAGAAATTTCTCCAACTGGTTTAAATTTAAAAAATAAACAGACTAATTTAAGAAAAAAAATATTAAAACACAAGCTTTCAATTTCACATTTAAATGCTCAAAAGATAGTTGATGAGAGTAAAAAAAATATAATGGATGAAAAAATATCTGAAATGGCATTATCTGAATCAGACCAAACACAAAAAATATTTAGAACAGCCTATTTAATTTCTAAAAATCAACGCCCATATACTGATATGCCAAAATTAGTCGACCTCCAAGTTATTAATGGAGTTGATCTTGGGAGAATACTTCATACTAATGTATCATGTACACAAATAATTGATCATATTGCCTCTGAGATGAGGATAAAATTAGCTAAATGCATTATAGAAAATGGAACAAAATTATGTATTTTAGTTGATGAATCGACAACTTTGAGCAGGAAGTCAATGTTGGTTATTTGTTTGCGCTGTGCTATTGGTGAATTGGGTGAAATAAATACATTCTTTTTTGATATTGTTGAACTGAATAATACTTCAGCTGTATCTGTAAAAGGTTCAATGTTGCAAGCACTTGAAAAGTATGGGATTAATTTTGAGTTTTTAAAAAAAAACTTGATTGCCTTTGTTAGTGATGGAGCATCAAATATGTTGGGACGTAAATCTGGTGTCGGTACTCTATTAAAAAATGATTTTCCAAATATAATAACTTGGCACTGTTGCAACCACCGCCTAGAGTTGGCAGTTAACGATACTTTAAAAGAAGTAAGTGGATTAAATCATTTTCAGAGTTTTATTGAAAAACTTTATGCAACATATCATATGTCTCCTAAGAATACAAGTGAATTAAGAGAATGTGCTGCTTCATTAGAGAAACAACTATTAACAATTGGTAAGATTTTCACTATCCGATGGGTTGCTTCAAGTCAGCGTACAGTGAAAGCTGTTTGGAATAATTATGAAGCTCTATTCAAACATTTTTCTTATGCATCTACTGACACATCTAGAGACTCAAGAGAAAGAGCAAAATATAACGGGTTAAAAAATATACTCACTTCAAATAATTTTGTACATAATCTTGGTGTGTTATATGATGCATTAATGGAACTATCAGACTTATCAATACAATTACAAAAAAGAGATATGACATTACCTGCTGCCCATAAATCTATTCAGCGTACAATTCGAGTTTTAGAGTCCATGGCTAGTATACCAGGTCCAAAATGTCAAGAAGTAATTTCTGCTTGTGAAAACAGAGAATTCAAAAATATTCAAATCTATTCTAAAACATCAGTTATAAAAGTACAAATGGGACAATTTTTTACAAGTCTAAGTAATAATATGAAACAAAGACTTATGACAACACAAGCTAGTAATGTGTCATCAAGGGAAGTTAATAATGAATATAAAGTTAATTTCAAAAATTTAATTGAAGATTTAGAAGTCCTTTCCTCAGAAAATTGGCCGGATAATATGGATATTCAGTATGGTGATGAAAGTATTCGTCGTTTATCAGAGGTGTTTCAAATTGATCAAGTTTTATCTGTTAGAGGTTTTCGTGAGTATAAAGAAAATGAAAAAGTTAACATCGATATTAAACCTTTAATGACTGTAATCAACTCTATTGCAATATCTTCTTCGGAGTGTGAACGTACCTTTAGCTCAATGAATGTAATTGTAAGTCCTATAAGGAGTACATTAACATCTAGTCATTTGTCTTCACTAATTTTCATTAATTGTGTTGGGCCACCTCTAGAAAAATTTGATCCTAAATCATTTGTGAAGTCATGGATCTTGAGAGGAAAACGTTCTGCTACAGAAACAAATTGTTTAAAAAGAACCAAAAAAGATGAAAATGAATCTAATTCTTATAATTCAATATGGAATTGTTTAAATGTTTAATTTAAAAACTTACTTAGTTATTATTATATTTGTTAGTTTTTATTTTTATTATTTAATGTTGAAGCAACCAAGTGCAAAAGAATATTAAATTTATGTTCCTACTTTACTTTACCATATATTAATAGTTTTAACATATTACTTTGAAATGCAAAAGTATAGCTAAGTGTTACTAAGATAATAATAATAATATAATTATAATGTATATTTTCTATGTAGGTATGTTACATTTTTAATTTTTATGAGTTCTTGTTAAAGAAAACATATTTTATTAAACAAAATACAATTTATGTTCCTATTTAAATATTTATAATTGTTTTATTTGAAAATAGCTCTTTATTAAAATTGAAATATTCATATAAACATATAGAATATATATAGATATAAAGGTAATGTGTGATTTTATAAGCATGGTCATCCCACCATGCGTAGAATTTGAATTTTATCTTGTACAATTTAAAGCACTAAAAACCCTACATTTTTATGATATAAATATTTTTTGTCTAGTTGTTTCCTTAAGTTGTCTTAAAAGAAAAGCACTACTTACAACTTAATATTATGAGAAAAAATATTAAATGTGTATAAAATATTAATTATTCTTAAAAATGTAGTATTATTTGTGATTTAAATTTTTCATGAAACAAATTACAAATTTGAACATTATTCACGGTTTTAAGTGGGATGAGTATGTTACACATAACTGTTTATAAATTACATGTACGATGCACCTGCCATATGTCTATATGTATTAGACATTATACATAAAACGATATCTGGAACGCTTAAAACTATATGGAGGCGTTAGTCCCCCCTGGAATTTTTTCCCACTTTAACCCCTGAATATTTCTCGCCTGCCGCTTTTTGTCATCGCACGACGCGCACTGAGTACTCTTTTTTGACTGTTTAAAAAAGTTATCATATTTTATAGAACGTGTTTATTTGTAAATTGTGTTAACGGAAAGAAATGGAGAAATAGACACGAAACGCGGAAAAAAACAATGTATTTTGTTTTTGACGGCTATTGAAAAACAGCACGTAATCGGCTGACTATAGCTAAAAATATTTTCCTTCAAACTAACGACAGATAATAATAAAACTGTATAACTTACCTGTAAACCTAAAGTGAAGGTCGCTGGAGTCGCTGAATACAGTGGCTAACCAAAAAAAGTCAAACAAATTAATATTATTCACACGAAATACGTCAAATGATAAAGGGTAATGACCTATCACAATATACATCCACGGATATCTGAACGCCGCAAATGAAACCCAATTAAAATGTTTTGAAGATATAAATATTTTCAAAATGCTGTGTGGATAATTAATTATTATTGGCAAACTAAAGTATTTCAAAGTTACAAAGCTTTGAACATAATATGTAACTATTTAAAAATCATTGTATTAAATAATTAAAAAAAAAATTTTCTCCAAATAATTTAATATTAACTCAAATACAATTTTTTTAAGCATATTTTACAACACTGGGCAATAAACACAGTACACCCAAGTAGCACATACACAATCATAGCATATTAATAGCATATTTGAAAAGAATGTAAGGAATATGCATTGATTATTCTTCATTCTTCATTTAATCATCTATGAATGAGCATGGAATATTAAAAACTAAAAAGTCATTAAATGAGCTACTTTTAGGCATTATATGAATAATCCGGATATTCAGAATAAACTAAGAATATTCCAAAAGAATATCCATATTGTGTCTTAAATCACTGAATTAATAATTATTGAATATTCGTAATTAATTGTTACTATAATAGCCAATGAATATTTAAATGGGACTCCCAATAATTATTCTTTGAGCAACCAAAAACAATAAATGTATAATACTAATACTCTTTACCGGTTAGTAAAAGTATATTCCCAATAAATTATTAGGTATTCGTTTTCATAGAATATCCAAATATCATTTTTACAATTTTATGTTGAAGGTAAGGGTTTGTTAATTTTGAAATGATATATTATTAATAGGTATAAGTTTTTATTAGAATTCTAAATTAATTTTTAATAAGTACAACATACAAGATTAAAGTATGTACCTTAAATAAAACATTTGTTAAATAATTAATTAAGTTGTTATCCACAATTTTATAAAACAAAACAAGTAATATTATCTTTAACAATTTTTCTTTTCTTTTATTATAAAAATTTCAAATACATAATAAAATAATATTTTAATTAATTTAGGGTAATGTTTAGATAATTCACCAGCTTTACTCAGCTAAATGCTTGCAATTGTTTCAATTTTTTTAATTGATTTATCAGCCAAATGTATAGTTGATTGTATTGCTTCTAAAGACTAAAACAAAACAAAGTTGAATTATTATACAATTAGTCAAATTTGTTTTATTATTTTAATTTTATAATCATTTGGCAATATTTAAATAATTATCCAAAATTCTAAGGATCATTACAATACGGTCGCCACAATATTTTACTATGCATATATATATTATACCCCTGACTTCCATATGTATCCAGGATAAATTAATTAAGTAAATAAATATTTTGTATATAATTTTTGTTGATTTGATTTTTTTTTTTTAATTGCTTAAAAATAATAAATATTATTATTAAAATAAATTAAATAAAATAACTTCCAATTGGTGTGTCTAGAATTTTATGTATAAAAAATAGACATATCTTTTATATATAATTAAAAGTAATTTTAATTTATAATTTAATTTTTAATTTCTTTAAAATATTAAATATTATAACTTAAATAGTGTCTTATAGGTATAATATTATCATTAATACTGATATAATATGTACTTATCAGACTTAAATTCAATCTGAAAATTAAAATTGAATTAAGTTTATTTAGATATATTTATCATTCCTATCATACCAAATAATTTCAAGTGTACATTTTATGTTATGAAAAAAAAAACAAGTTCAATTTATAAAAAAATTTTCTAATATTTAATATCTGTTACACCAAAATTACATAAATATGCCTATATTTTACTAGGGTAATTATAGGGACTATACCTATAATCATAAAATATTTAAACTGACTAAAAATAGGAATTATTATTTCACCTCTAACACTATGTACCAATTATTATTAGTCAATAAAATCCACTAACTATTCCTACTTCTTTGAAACCAGCATTATGATACAATCAGTAGTTGCTCCTAAAAGCAATGTATACACTTGAGTAAAACTTGGTATTCTTTTAAAATAATTATAATCCAATAATAGATATATTGAGTATACACTCAATATAATGAGAATGATTTTTAAGCCCTGTTCAAATATTAAATTGTATTCCTAATAAAATAAAATAAGTACATGCTTATAAGCAGTGATGACAAAATAGTTTAATTAAATGCAGTTTTGGAATGTTTATGACCAGTGTAGCTGAATGTTTTAGCATATTCATTTGATAATAATTTTCTCAATATGCACCTCAATGACTCTTTAACATCACCTCCTCCAATTAAGGACAACATTTTTACCTTTTGTAATAACACAACAATATTAAAAATTATAATCTATAATTTAAAACAAATACTTACAGTTTTGTCATATAAAGTGCTATTGTTGGTTAATGCCTGTTGTAAATTATTTAAAGATACTTCATTTGATACTGATAGTGTTCCATAAATTTGTTTGAATTCATGACTAGATGAAGTTGCAATTGATTGATCAGTTGATAATTTATTTTGTATTTCTTGCATGTCATTCAACATCATCATTATTGCAGTGTGCAAATACTCTACATGCTCCTTACTTCTGGCATTTAATGTTACTAATTGTCTAATGATCTGTGTTTGTATTTCTATTTAATTTTAAGTAATAAAATCCATATTATTCAAAATGTTATTATTAATAAATAATTATTGTCTAATAAATAATAATTAGTGAATCATTATCAGACTATGATAATAGAGCACTCATTATTTTAGAAACTATATAGATTTACAATTATGTTATATTTTAATTTTAAACTTCATATTCAAACTTGATTTATCTAATATCTGTTTTTATTTAGTTGTATTAAAGTTCAATTTATGGTATTATTTTTAAAAGATATTCAAGTGTACCTGAATCATAGCCTTTCTTTTGAAAATTACATTCATTTTGTATAGACAATATGTTTTCATCTTCAAGATCTGTAACTACTTGCAATTCTTGCAACAATACATTTGAATGTTCTTCTGACTGATTTACAGCTGAAAAATATAAAAATTGTTCTAATTCATATTGATTTTATGCAGTAGAGTAATATTGATCAAAACTAATAAGAGTATTAATCTTAACTTTTGGAACACATTAAAATGTATTAGTGTGTACGAATATAATATAATAGGTTCAAATCAATGATAATTAATTAACTGACTCCAAAATGTAACAGTCAAAGTCTGCATAAAATCAATGTATAACATTGGTATGCTTAACTTCGATTTTAAGATTAATTATTAAATATTAAAAATATAACTAGAACCAAACATATTATAATGTGCTAACCTATTCCGGCACACCACCCAACCCTAACCTAACCCAACCTTGAACAATTGCTATTTTCCACACCACCACGGAGGTATAGCACGAGGTGCGTTTTTTTTATAGTGGTATCCCCAATAGGCATAATCCACTTTCACCTACGTGAAAAAAAAGGTACAAGCCTAAGGCCTAACCTAATTTTTTTTTCATGTCCCTGATTTTAGTTCTCAAGGACACTAAACTACGGTTAGGAACTTTATTAAAAGGTCATTGTTTTAAAAGCAAATTAAGTCCTTCAGTGGTATTGATTATATCCGCTTTTGTCAATATCAACCTTGTTAAGACCTTTTCCTCTTCGGATGAGTATTTAAGTTTGGTCGGTGATTTTATCTTCAGATGATTGAAACCAAACTGCAGGTTGGAAGTTGGTGAAGGCAATAGCGCAGTCAGAGGAGACTGGTTTTCTGTCGGAGATTCAGGGGCGAGATCAGCTAGAAACACAAAAATAAATCCAGAACAAATAAAAATAAAA